AAGTTATATCATACGTAGCGTCCGAGACTCAGATAAGTATTGTTATTTATATCGTCTCTCTCGCCCGATACCCTGGTAGCTTGCATTAGTTATGCTATCAATAGCGCCTGGTAACTTTAGTTTTGTTGTCACTTGCACCTTATACCTCAAGGTATTAGCCACTAGAAATACTGTCATTGTCGCTCGGCATTACCCGCAACTAGCGTTAGTTATTCTGTAACTTCAGCCCAACACTACAGTAACTAGCTTTAGTTAGGCTGTTACCAGTGTCCGACTTTCCGGTAGCTAGTGTTAGTACTTATTAATAAAACTGTAACTTACTTCCCAACTTTTTTTTCCTATTAGGATTGTGAAGATAGTCTTCTATTAATTATTTAATTATTTATTTTCATTTTAAATTTGTTTCACGTTCACCACACCATAATTCCATCATCACAAAGATCATCGAGCAAGCAGAACCATTTTCGCGTCTCTCGTTTGCAATATTTACTGCCACCTATACTACTATACTGCCACCTGCGTGCAATATGTCTGATTATCATATTACCCCCAGCTTACAATATGTCAGATTATTTTATTCGTCTGTTCAATCCATTTGTTTGTTGTAAATATTGTGTGTGTATCCTCTGAAAGAGGCTTATCCCTTGATCTCGTCCCTTTGAAAGAAACAATAAATTGGATTTAATTTTCATAGTTTGGATTTAATTTTACGTGCAGGTGAAATTTCAGTTCGCGTTCATTTATGCATACTTACATTAACTAAATCAGAAAAATTATATTGACACACATTGGCTAATTTGAAATACAGTTAAAAGTTGCTTATTGTCAGCAGAATACATATTTCATTAATTAGTTTCAACTTAAAAATAACATGCCCATCGATTTACGACGCTGACGCGGCGCTGGCACTTGTTCAAAAGTGTATACAACGGCAACCAGGTTGAGCTCAGCCGCTTTCAGAGCCTTCTATTCTACAATTAAATTTAAATATAAAGCAATTTACGAGCTTAGAAAAAGCGCATCAAGCTCAGTGGGGCAGCTTCCTCGACGCTGACAAACGTGAGGGAAGAGTGCGCTTTATTGTGCAATTCTGGGACTGCATTCACTACCTGCTAGTGCACATGTTAGTGTTGTGCTGGTGTACACGCTAGTGTTGTGCTGGTGCACACGCTAGTGTTGTGCTGGTGCACACGCTAGTGTTGTGCTGGTGCACACGCTAGTGTTGTGCTGGTGCACACGCTAGTGTTGTGCTGGTGCATATACTAGTGTTGAGCTAGTGTCCCCGTAGTACTTGTTTGCATAACATCAAGTATTTGTTTGCATAACATCAAGTATTCGTCTGCATATCATCAAATTTTTGTTCGCAAATCGGACATGTTTGCTATCAAATGGTGACTTGTATGTTTGTACATAGGACGTGTTTGTTCTAACATAGGACGTGCTTGTTCGTACATCATATGTGTTTGTTATCATATCGTGCACTATTTTCCGAAGCTCGTATAAGGTTTGTTTGCAGCTCAGGTGGAGTACGTTGGTGCCCGAGCAGTGCACGCTTGTTTATCTTGCTAGGGTTTATAAGGGCTATATTTACTAATTGCTTCGGATTAGTTTATATGTTCCTTAAGGTAATCGATATTCATGCCTTATAGTTATATAGATAACGTAAGTTTTGTGAAAATTTACTAAGGAAGCGTTTATTTATAAATACTGGTGATTTGCTTATTTATTTTAATTTGTGTTAGCTCATTTACATTGCTTGTTGTTTGTTAATTAATTTTGTTTGCGATTAATTTATTTATATTACTGATGGTTTGTTTATATTGAGAGTGACCAGCATTATATTTTCGACAAATTTTGCCTCAAATAAATTTAATTTGTCACCAGTTTGATAACACTTAATGGTGAATTAACTGAATGAAGATCAAACACAAATTTTATTTGTTCAACTTCATTCTCCTTTTGCATACTCAGGATGTTGGCACTTCATAATACTCCTAACTTTCAGCAAATTCCGTCTTTCGAGCGACGCAGTACCAAAATTGCCATCACAAAGTTCGCGGCGCATCAAATATTCCCATCGTAATATTGCTATCAAAATTTAGCTATAAAAATATTGCCATCAGCGCACTAATTCTCTGATAAGGCGACGAGAAAAACGGCTCCCAGAGGCGCCATGCGCTCACTCATCCTTCGCTTCCAGATTTTAATCTTCCTGGACGTTTATAATTCCAGATGCTGTATCTCTCGCTGTCAGATCCAATTGAAGAACTATGATATATTTCTTACAAAATTCTCTGACTTTTCATAGCGGCCTCGTAGTATTTCCTGTATATCAAAATAAATTCCACAGCAATAAATCTGTTCCGTCAAGCTTTTGATTAGAGTGAGAGAAGTGATAATAATATAACGCACAGGCAAGCAAATAAATCTTACTCGACTAAAAGGTAAACCTCAGATGAATTGGCGTGAAGCCAATTCATCATTACTGTAACGTGATTTATTTTACCATGAAGCTGGAATTGTTAATGAGCTGAGAATATTACTTACTCACTTTGTTTAATAATTTAAAATGCTGATGGAAAACAAATTAAAATGATGATGTATAGTGGGACCAAAATTCGTAATTTTCAAATGCCTCTTATATATTATATTTCTTATGTGTGTCGGCTAGAAGTGAGAGAGATCACTATGCTCTCTCTCACAGAGAAAGCATTTTACACCAAAAAATGCTTTATTTGCGAACTCCACATGTTATTTCACTTCATATTATAAATTTGTTAACTTTTTAACTCACAGAAGTCCGCATAGCAGCCTTCACTCTACCGCGCCTTGGCAGCATCATGGTCAAGGTACTTCTTAACGCCTCCGACATCCCTAGCTCTTTCTCGTCCCAACGTGAAGAATCCAAACAGAAAAATCCTGCAGAAAACATTTCGTCAATTCCTGGACTCAAGACGCGACTCTGGAGGACCGTAAATGGCTCCCAAAATTCAGACTACAATTTCTCCTTCACGCTTTACTTCAAGAGAGCGCTCAGTTCGGTCCCAACGTGCCTCAAAACCACTGCTTGCAGCCAAGGGTGAGCGATTGAAGGCATTTTATACTCTAATTAGTACGTACAGAATACCAGTGACACATCCATAAACTTATTTACTTTCATAACCTTTAATTTGCTGCATCATCTTCGGCTATTTCCATTCCGAGTAATTAACTAATAATTTGACATTTTTGTATTTTGTTCATGTGGTTAAATCTATTGTACCTAATTCTTATCATTCTTTTGAATTATTAGATGCATAAACAGAATTTTTTATTTCACATGAATGCTTTCATAGGCTGCATTTATTTTATAACCTTCATCTACTCCATTGACAGTAATTGTTTGCTTTCTGCTTTCATGTACATTTTGCAATCTCTAGAAACGTTGTTGTTCCAAAGGATTGCTTCACATCCTTTGTATTGTTTCGTTAATTAACTTCATTTGATCTCTCATGCATGCTGCTGCTATCGTTCCCTCCGCAGAATTTTTATAATTGTGGACATATTTCTCTAATCTTGATTGTAAGAGATCACAATTTAAATGTTTCCATAGCTTTCATTTTTCATCAACTGCGAAGGTGTAATTATGTCAATATCTTGCCTTAATTTAAATTATTTGCATATACATGGTTGTTTTTATAAACTTCAGTTGCTTCTTTAGACTTCATCGACACTATTTTATTTAGGCAATTAATTTTACTAACATAAACTGCAATTACCCTAGAAAATTGTTTCTTATTCACCAGCGCTATACAAGAATTTCCAGTCCTACTTTAATGATTTATTCCTCATTAAGTTTAAAAAAAATTGAACTTCCACACTCAACTTTACGAAAATCTTGACATTGCCCCGGTAAGCAGATTGCATTGATAAAACATCGCTCACTTGACACAATCGGTGGGGCATTGATCGAGAAACCTGTCCTCTGGAATTCGACAAATATTTTCTCAACTTGGTCATCGTCTTTGCTTCTTAGTGTTTACCAAAAAGTACTCAAAGTTCATGTAACCATGAACGAACTTCTCGTCCATTGATAATATAAACCGTACACATGGACTCTTACATAGCACTTTTGTCCCATAACTCCTGTAATACCGTCTGAAAAATTACTTTTCCAACAGACGCTTGATAGTTTCAGTTGTTTATACTGAGCCATGAGGAATAAGTACGATAAAGTTTAGGTTCCTGTTTCATAAAAGACAAAAGTCTCGAATGAATTTGACCTCGCTGCTTAAAAGAAACCTTCGATTTGATGGAGATGATTTAAGTAGCCCAAATCATCTAAATACCCCGGTTTTGTTTCTCTTTATGTGCTCTGCTGTGAGTGTGGCTTAAGCTTTATGAACGGTGGTTGCATTCTTCAGCGTATTCATGCAGGCCCGGATCATTCACGTCAGTCCAGCCGGTCCGTAATTCAGGTCTTAAGTTTCATGATTAAATAAGGAAAATCGTTGAGAATTAGGACACAATATTTTGCTCAAGTCAATATATATTGCCAGCAATTTCACAATATTGCCTCATCAATTTCCAAGTTAATAGGATCTTCGTCGCTGTCAAATTAAGCTGTTTGCTCTCCAAACCGTTTGTGATAATCTGGTATTTTTACTATATGGTATTCGCTTCCTGTACTTCGGTAATGATCGCGTATTGCAATTCAAATACCTTCGTATCGGAAATACAAGACTTGAATTTCAAGTTCTCATTTCGTACACGTTTCACTAGGTTGCACAGAAAAAAAAATTATTTTAAAAACGCTCGTTATTCGAGGAAAAATTCATTGAATTCAGGGAGTTTTTTGTCTTTCAAAAGCGAATGTTAGTCTTCGAAGACAAAATATGAACTTAACAAGATTGTCTTCCGAGATGTGGAATTTCATGAAAATACTCATATTCCATTGATTGTTTCATCTGTATTGCACTTCCAGTGAATAGTTGGAATATCGGACTTCTTGAACGCGTACGACAGAAGTTTTGACTGATATGAGACCATCAGTCTGTAGCACCAGCAGCTATTGTTAAGACGTTCTATATCAAATAGCTCGGCAGTTCTCGACACGCACGGCCAGCTCATGTAGTCGCCTAATTGCGTTTGACTCATGGCACCAATTACCAGGGAATCATCAAGCGCACGCACGCCAATTTAACAAGATATTAACCAGTTAAACCCCCCAAAGCGCTAAAATCCTAGAGCATACGCTTAAAATGTGTGAATATCGATCGAATATAGAAATGCTCGGAATAATTCGAGTTTTTTAATTAAAACTTTTAGAAGATATGAAATAGTTTTATAATTCTAATGTGAAAAAATATTATTATTTTCCCCCCTTGAAATGATTCTTTTAAATCCTCAATACAAAACAAACCTTCAAAAATTTTAAGCCACACAGCCGCCTCTAATAATATAAAGTTTTAAAAAATATAATATAATATAATATAATATAATATAATATAATATAATATAAAATAATATAATATAATATAAAGTTTTGAAGCAATACTTATCATTACTTCATGGTATTCATAGTGATGCTGGTAATTATAATCAGCATTTTCGAATCAGTACGTCAGAAGCGATAGCTGTGAGAAATTAAAGGGGAGCCTCATTAATTGGTAAACAATTTTCAAATTTATGGATTCAATGTTAACGACCCAGAGTATCTACCATCTGAACGTTCTATTTTATTTTAATTACAATATATCGTAATGTCCATATATGTTACATGATACAACATCATGTTGTCCCATGATGTTACAATATATCGTATCACATTATGTCTCTACATCGACGTGTACAAGAAAGTCACGTGGGACACAATGAACCTACTTCGGACCGTACAATAAAGTGCTGCACTAATCGTTTTGCTTCGCTTAATACACTATATTACAATATCCCAATGACTGCTTCCTCTCATTTAGTTCATCTAATTGATGAATGAGGCAGGAGCAAATAATTACCAGTTCGTATAGATCCATTACCATAATTGACACGAAAATACCAATCAAATCTTTTTCACAGGTTGTATTTGTAATCTGGTAATTGAATAAAAAAATTCCCAAACAATAGTCAAAATAACTGCCGACGCAATTATCATTATAAATATTATGCTACTACATCATCTGGGATCCAAATCCATGGATCCAGTGGGGCAATCTATGTAATTATTTCAAACAAAAAAAAATGCCATTCAATCAACTTATATTTTTGTAGGAACATACGTAGTCCATACCTTAAAAATTCGAATTGTTTTCTCTCAGCGCAGAAAGTTGTGATACAGTTTCTATCTCTTGCTCATTTATAGTAGCTTTAATTAGCCGCATAATGGGTAATAAGTACGCAAATGAAGACCATTGAGATGCCAACCTGGCTAGTGATGCACAAGCAGTTAAGGCTTTGCTGCAGGTCATTCTGATCGTGTAGCTTATGAAGAGGCTTGATTTAGGGACAACAGTGTTTCCATTATCACCAAAGTTTGAGCTCTTCAGTGTGGCCTCTAGGCCTTCCTTTGCAATGAACCTTGCCTTTATGAAAATCGGGTGATATAAACCATCGAATTTCATGGACTACGCACATTAGATGTGAGAGCATTGACTCATAATGAGACGATTTGGAGCATAACATAAAACCCGTCCTATTGAGCTGAGTCAGTTTACACCAGACAGTGAAACCATTAATGAGCTGGTGCAGAAATCCACTGAGCGGTAAATTTATTGGCTCGTGCTGAATTGGTCTACGCCAGGCGTTATCTGAATATGTCTACTTCAGGAGTTGAATAGAACCATTGGCTTTTGCTAAATTGGTTGATGCGCCTGTTACTGAGTCCTATATAGCTCGCTTAGAATTCATTCATAGAAAATGCTCTGAAAAAATTTATTCCTACTGAATCATAAGAATAGTCTAGATTTCCAAGTTCATTTAGAGATAATGCTTGTTCCGGTTAAGCAAGCGCAACATTTCACGCACATGATACGCTTAAAAAATATGATAGCATTTTTTCTGCAGAATTCAGCAGTAAATTTCGAGTTTTTGAGAAATTATTATTTAGCGTGTTGAGCTAACAAATAAATTCTGTTTCATTGTGTTTCGGATGCAAGCATCGATCACGCATCAACAAAGACAGGATCTATCGAATCTATCATCTATCTTCATGAATTTATTTATTTATTTTTGCTTTGGCTTTCTTCCTGTCAATTTATCCAGGTTTTAACGCGCTGCGATATATAGATGTGCATCATTATCTATATTTTCTTTACATTTTAGGCTACATAATTCAAATGCATTTTAACAACGGTTACATTGTGCGAAAAAAATTATTCACATGTATCTTCAATTTCAAAATGCATCATTAGAGATACACGTACATATATTCAGCTGTTTCAACAAGAAAATTTGACTCGTTCAATAAGTGATGTCATTGCATGTTATAGTCTACATACTTAAGCCTCGACATTTCGATGTAAGAGTTTCCTTTCTGTCAATTCGGTTTCCCTTTTCGGTTTCCCTTTTGTTAACTAAGCCCGGGAACTTGCACTGGCGTCTTCAAACCGAAGCGCGATTCTCTCGAATAAGTCTGAGCGAATACTTGAATTGCTACTACTTGCAGCGCCTACTTGCATTGCTCAATATTAGTTTGCTAGCAAATATCGTAAAGCAGTTTTAAACCAAAAAATTTGGATCAGTTGGTTCATTGGAAAGTTACTCATTTGACTTAAATTTTGCCAAGCAGAAATATAATAACACCAATGCAATTAGAATTTGTCAAAAATTCAAGCTCGATTGAAACTTATGCTGATATTCGACCATGTTGCAACTACTCATAGAGAACTACTACCTTTTTTTGTAAATGACTGAATTCTAGAGGTTGGTCTCCGCTTGCCAGCAAAACATCATGAATTTCATCAAAATCATCAAGGAATTTGTTGTTTAAAATAATTTGGCCGACTTAGAAGATTGAAAATAAACAGAAGAGACCTAAGACATTGGAAATTTTATTATATAAAAACTAACATAAAGTAACTGACAAGAGATGAGCGCTCCTCTATATGAGTGCGATACTCATTTGTTAATTTTTTTCTTTGACTTTTGATACTCACGAATTATTACTTTTTCTACAAATTCATGTTTTGATCGTTACAATGTTAATAAGTTTTGCTAGTAAATAGCCTCTATTTTTTTAAGGGATATGCTCTTAATAGCAGGTCTCTTGGAAATGCGGAAATCTGAAAGATCGATTTTTGAGTAAAACATTAGGTTCAGGTTCCCTGATTTATTCAATGGATAAGACTGGATATCCTTTAAATAAATCAGGAATTAATTCCATCCCAGCAGTTTTATATAGGTGTAAATTATTCACGTTTTCTCTGATCAATATTTATCATTTTTCCCGGAAAGATTTTGGTTTCCTCGATTCAATCTTGCCCACTACTCAGGCTGGGAGGTGTGATATATTCATACCCGAAGTCTTAAAATCAATTATAAAAAAAAAAATCTTGCCCACCTCTTGCCTCTGGCTCCCTTAAATTAAGCCTTTAATGAGCCTCTCATGGAACCGGTCAAACGTAAGTCTGCTTCAAAAATAATTGTGCCCTCGTGTTACATAGTTTTTCGTAGTAATTTAAAACATAAATTCAGTTTTTCTTCACCGCATATATAGTTCTCGCAATGTGGATGGGAAACAATTTTTAAATCTGGCCATGGTATGTTCATGATCAAGAAATAATAGGCTTCCTTTTAATTAACCAATAATTTGGCGGGAGATGATATACAACACAATGACCCCTATCTTAATATTGTAAATATTACCGGGTTTTCAGCCAAATATGAACACTACAATTTTCCCCGTATTTGGATTCCACTAGTCGCCCGCTCCCTTCCAGTAGCTCCCAACCCGTCCTAGTTCTGCCGGTTATAAATAAGTTGAGCTAGTGGATAATGCTGTTACAAGAAGGATGTTCGTAGTGATGGCTGCAAGACCAACGAAGCACTTGTTGTAGAGGTTTTGGATTAAACGTTATTTTATTGTTAAATATTAGGATTTTATTGAACAAAGGTGTTGTCAACTTAGAATTAATAGGTGTTAGAATTGTAGGAATATTTTAGAGACTATTGAAACTGTGGTCAGAGATTGCGGACAGGAAAATGTGGCAGTAGGGACATGGTCTTCAAAGCAGCATCTTGTGTTTCGTGAAGCTTACCCCTGCAGACTGAACGCTAATCACTGCTATTTTTGTTAAGTTATGGTCGTGAATAAGTGTTACAGTTCTCATGTTTGAAGAAAACACTCAATGTAATGTGATGTCTCGTACAAAAAAGTATTTTACTGTAACCGCGGCTTAATGAACATTGAACATGCCACTTTACCCGCCACACTGTAGATAAATATGAAGCTGAATTTACTTATACCTTAAATATGTGGCTGAATTTACTTATACCTTCAACTAGAAGCAGCAATAAATTTCCACGCATGTGCGAACTGCATGACCTGGTGAGAGATTCGTCTCTTACCAAGGAAAAGGCTGATCTTTTGGCTTTACAACGGAAAGAAAAACTTTCTGTCAGCAACGTCTGACAAAGTAACTATTTAAAATGAAACAACAGTCCACTGTTTATTGAAAACTATACTACTGAAATTATGTTGATGACCATTTCACAACTGACTGTCTGGGACGCATTCCTCATTCATATATGTGTTTATTAACGTCAAAAGGTGCGTTGCTGCACAACGGCAATCATAATTCCGGTATTCCGAAGTGTTCATCCCGTACACTTGAATGAAATTGTCAAGAAAGTGAGAACGCTGCTGTGTGACTATGAAATCCATCATCAGAAACACTTGCGGCGTCTAGGAAGTGCTTGGTATGCCTGAGGGTATGCTGGACTGCTTCACGAAGTTCTGACGCTGCTTAGTTCGTCAGCCAGTCGTGCGGTAAAGAAATTAACGCGAAACACGAGACACGAATAAGTACCCGGCCGCAGCTGCATTTACTGAAAGATCCTGGCGCAAAATATTCGTCGTTACTAATCATTACGTTTGATTTTAGTTGGATACCTGATTCGAAGAATTAAAAAAAATTAGAGCGGCAAAACTCGAAGAAGAATGAGCTTGACGGTATCTTTGTTCCAGAGGATGGATAGTCGTATCAATTAACGTGCATTTTCTCGACCTGATCCCAAATTTGGGATCAGCAACGCCCAGAAAGAGCGTTTTGAATGAAAGAAACACACTATCATGGATTTGAGAATGGCAGCAAAATAGCTGACTGCAGTTGGATGCTTTGCAATGAGGAACCTCAAAACGGCCACAAAATATCTCATATTGCCAATGACTCAGTTGTGTTTATGTGATCTTAAACGTCTATTTTTTCACTTAGATTAAAAAATGGTTGAACCCCTGAAGTAGTGCCAGGAATAGCAGACAAATCAAATTAAATACATGCGGAATCGTGTGAATTTCCCAAAAGGGGTCGACCTGTCTCAAATTCCGTACTTCAACAGTAAATCCTAAAAACAACAGATAAGAAGTAACAATAAGGGGTTTCGAATTTTTTTCCCTTCTGAACCTTTCGATAAGTACAATAAGCGCAAATTTTCTTTCTGAATTAGAACGGCGATTGAATTACGATTCACTCGAAAAAGTACAGCAGCTAGAACATTTTTCTTCAACTGCCTTAGAGGTATTTCTCCTGTCTGCTAAGTTCGAGATTTTTATTTACAAAACTCGTAATATTTGTGTACGTCTTTCCTCAGATGGACTTCGCGAACACTGATTCCTCAGGGCGTGGACGAGGCTGGCAATCCGCTTCTGCTGCTCGACGGATTGCAGCCGAACTCTTCCTATGCCATTGAGATGAAGATGGTGGATGAAAGCGGTCGTGGCAGACGCTCATCCGTGGCTTATGCAATCACCGCGCCTCATAGTGAGCATTTAAATGAAGAATACAAATTTATTATCAATTGTTATAAATCGATAGCGAAGTTCTTTATATTCAATGAGGCAATCTCAATTACCCATCTGTGGCTCTAGTCATCAGGGTCCGAGATGACAAATGAATATTCTGACAAATGAAATGCTGAAATTCCTCATAGCAAGTCAATAAAATTTTAAATGAGATGGAGAATAACAATATTCAAGTAAGGCTCATGCCAAAGAGGCAAGAAAACCTGAGTTATTATGAAATGATTCTTGTATAATTTTATTTACTTCCTGTGCATTTCAATAAATATTCGTTGACGAAATTTTCCATAAAGCTGGTGTTCCTGTGAATATAAAGGAACTTATTTGCCGATTTTTCCTTCCGTTTCATTTCTTACTTTGTTCGAGGATAAAATTTTGCTTCCTCTTAACAGATTTGTACGTTTCAAACAACTGATACGTATGCTTCATCCAATAGATACCTTTACATCAACTACAAATATGTATGGAGTTTATACCTTGATCGTTCACGTTGAGAAGTGCTAACTTATTATCGCTTCAAGACTAAATAAAAATCTGACTAGTGTTTTCGTGCCAACCAGAGAGTCTTTTCTGAATACCAAATCCACTGTGATTTCCGGAGAAGTGGCTCAGGCGGACATTGAACTTTTCTCAATCGCAGAACTCTCATACAGGCATTATGACATTCAGTATGTCATTCTCATTCCCAAAGCACCATCTCTCCATCAGGGTGAAGTGGTGCTTGACTCAACTGACACGGAGGAGGAATCCTTTCTTGCCTGCCTCCCACAGGAGCACTGCGCCAGCTAACACTGCACGTTATCACTTTCCTTTACAGACCCTCTTGCCCCTGGAAGAGTCCAGTGCTTGTCACCGAAAGACCGCGAAATTTCTGTCTCGTGGTCGAAACCGGGACCACATTTCGGCGCCTCCATTGGACGCTATCGCGTCCAGCTAACCGAGTTGCAGCTCAAACTGCCCGCCTCATATCCGTCTTGCCTTCAGGGTGAGAATTTGTGAAATGACTTGTAAAACTCGGTGACTTGGTTTCCATTTGGAATATATGATACTTCTTGCCTTGTATCACAGTGGTTTTAGTTCAGTCAAGGAAAATGTTATTTATATGCTTCAGTAACATATTGGCCGAACCGACTCAGAGACTTTGCTATTTAATTTTACCTTTTTTCTCGTCTAACGAATAAGAAGATAAATAAACTAACAAAAAAAATTGTATCTGGGACTTCAGTGAAACTTATTACTCAGCGTAGTAACTTATTAACGTACAAACGTAGTCCAAACATAAATACTTGCATGGCGATACAAATTAATTGTACGGCAATAATCTTGAAATAATTTTTCGTCTTGCCTAGAGGCATAGCTCTAGTGTAATGTTCTATGTAATCTAGAAGAAAATCAGTCGTTTATCTTCTTTTTAGGGATAAAGTTTGAATTTAAGTTTCAACTAAACTAACGTTATGTGAATTTTAATTCTCATTCTTAGTGGAAACAAATGACAGGATATGTGTATAGAGAGCATCGGGATGTGGAGGCTTGTTTTGAAGTATAATTTCTTCATATATACTCGTGAAATACAAATATCAGAATATATCGTGTAGAGATGGAGGTCAGCGATACATCTGTGTGACAAAGCGTTACTCACCGTTACTCACCATTCTCAGCTGAAACAATAATTTTCCAGCGCTACAGTTACCTATTTCCCGGTAAAAAGATCACTGGTGAAATTTCTAAGAAATCCTTTTCTATATAACTTCTAACGTCTATCTAACTAACAACTTTAATTCTGTTCAGTTGGCAGTATAGATTGTTCGACGTACAACCATACACTCGAAAATATGCCCAAAAAATGTGTATGAACTGTCACAGTTAACAATTCTCTGTATATTCCCTAAGTGCATGGTAAAACGAGTTAGTAATAATGTTTACAGTAAGTGTACATCGCGAAAAGTACGCTTATTGTCTATCAGTAACGATGGAAAAATCAACGACGTAAAGCAATTCCCTGAATATTTCCCCTCACTACGACACTTTGTATTTAACTGCTTAAAAATATAGATACGAAAAAATGAAGCATTCAATCCATTCCCAGAGTTGCAACAGAAGTCAGCTCATCTGTGACACATGTAAAGCATTTGCACTGAATGCTTCACCAGAGCAGTTGTCATGCGCTGACATCTAGGAAATTATGCCGCGAAGATTTAATACTAATTTTTTTTTGTCTAAATAACAGAGAGTAAAAGAAACTCGCTACTATTTTTAAGAAAAAAAATTTAGGAATTAGGCATTCCTAAAATGTTCGTGTTAGATAACATTTAACTTGTTCTCTTTGTCGCAGGAGAACAATAACAGTGAAGTGGACGTCAGAAATAACCTCAGAAGTATTTTTACTTGGAATGCTTGACCGAAATCATTAATGTTTCCATTGCCTTGTAGGCAATGTAGCAAAATTTCAGCATTATAATAATGCTATTTTTACTGTATCCATTGTCGTAAGGTTATTGAGTAGCATTTCTTCAGAGGGCACACGATTTGTGCTCATGCTATCTCTGAACTCTGAACATACAGACTCTGCCCCCAAACGAAAGCTGGTAATTTTTAGGGAACAAACGATTACGAAATATTTAATCATATTTATGAGAGATGAATTAATGAGTTACAATTCAGCTTAGAGAAAACGTAAGAATTAATTGACTAGAGTAAGCGAAATTTCAATTTATTACATATTTATTGACCATTTAACAATCATCAAGCCGTTGATCTTCCGTCAACGCTTGCCGAAAAATTTTCACATAGACATTACTTCACGCACATTGCTGATAACCAAAAGATTTCGTTCAGGTATCAATTTATTGTGATATGACTGAAAACATCTTATTTTCTTCGCCAGGAAGAGAGGAATCCGACCGCAAGAAAAATTCCCCCTGGAGTCTGAATCCATCGGTGCAGAGGGAAAATGGTGGTGGCATGATGAAAGATAGTGAGTGAGTACTAGGCCTAATGTGTAACAAAATAATATCTAGTAAAAATAATTGATGATTTGTAAAGGTATTCTGGTATTTAAACCATTTTTCAAGTCTTACTATAGTTTTTGTGAATGCTTAAATTATTTTGCTTGTTTTTTTTACAACATTTTCTAGTAACTGTTAAATTTGTTAGTTTATATAAATTTCCCCTGGTATTGATTACAAACGTTCAGTTTGAGCGGTTTAATACACTTGTATATAATTGCAAGGCTCTTCAAGCATCAATGTGAGCTGAAAGTGTTGTGTAACATGTGTTGTCGGCAGCACTGGACTCGTGTTAGTAATACACCCCACGACACGCCGACCAGTCAATGTCTTACCCTTCTGCACTCAAGGTGGCTCACATTTTTACTGGATGTATTTCAGCCTTGAAATTTATGGGAGCATAACTGTTCTCAAGTTTTTATTCAATTCCTGTAAATTTGGCAGGTCATCAACTTCTAATATTAATTAAGTATATACTCTTCCTACACATGTATTCAAACATTTTTGATATGCTACTGGTTCTATACTTTTACATATGCCTGTACTACATGCCTTGAAACAACACATACATACTGAAGGCTCACCCTTCATACTCGTAAATAAGGAGCCTTCGAACATGTAGGATAGACTGGCAACCTCTAACATGTGGTATATATGGCCAGTCTTCAATTCCGAAATGGATTCCTTATCATGAACTTCGCCGTGAGCGATATTTTAGTCCTCTTATGGCCCGTGATGGACGTGATTCTCCATTCCCAGAGATATTTTATCGAACGATGAGCTGAGAAATACTGGCGCCACTGCCCCCGTTTTCTTAAACTACGATCCAAACTGCGGAGATGGACTCGATCGTAACTCAAGCTCCCGTAAGTAAATTTCTGACTTACGATATGACAAGATTTTATTTAGAGAAGTCGGGTGACCGATCTTTTTCAAAATAAGATTTGGTAGCTTTTGTGTATCTCACTATTGGCTCCGTTTCCTTTCTTAGCGAGTCTTGCATTTTCAATGCAGTTATCAACTTATTTTTAGTTTTGGTAACCTGAATTAAAATCTGGATTTTCCTACCAATGAACAAAATACTTTTTTCCAAATTTTGCTCAAATAAAAGTAAGCAAGATTAAAATTGTAATTCCATTGAGCAGCGATCTTAATTGAAGTCACGGAAAACGATGCGAATTGAATTCATGTACGTCTATGAATTTTAGACAACTTTTCGTCCTCCCTCAGAAAAACTTTGGCATCAACTAAACTTTTTGTTTCAAACTACTAATGTCTGAGTGAATTGTTGTCACATGTTGAAATTTGATTTACTAGACTTTTTTTGAACCTGAACTGATATGCTCTGCTTTACGTTCACAAAGACTCAATGATATAATATGTCAATTTTTTCGAAATTTTGTAGTCCTGTAGTGTAATTATATCATCTGGGGTATTATTTTGCTTGATGATGCCTCTTACGTTTAAGCTAAAGATCTAATTTTTCCAGGAACGGTTTGCACTTCAAGTGAAGGCATTATGGGCCTCAAACTTCAACATTCCGGATTGTACAAAGTTTCTGTGTTCGCATGTTCCCATCCTGTACCGTGTGCGACGTATTCGCTAGTTGCTATTGATCCCTCATTTACGCCTATTGATTCAGCTGGCCTAAAATATGAAAGGAAAAAAACTGCGATGAAATATTTACCCAAAAACGATGATGCTATGGTAAATGCTAAAGAAGTCAAAGTAAATTCTACATTAATTTTACGCGATAATGCGCGTCGAAAAACACAACAAAGAGTACAGAAAACTGAAGACTTTGTTCAAAATTACAAACAGTTTCGAGAAAATGGAAATTCTGATACAGAAAATGAATTAAAAAGTGATATCAACGAAGAAAGAAAACAGGACAGAGAACAAGAAGCCTGGAGGAAGTCAACAACCAGCATGAGTAAAATTATCCACACAAGACAGACTGAGAAGATAAATAAATTGCGAAGTGGACTTTGTGAATTGTGTTCGCTCGCACCAACAGAAACTTTATGTCAGGTCAAAGGCGATGGTGAGCGAATGAAGAGCGCTAGAGACCTTGAGCCTTGTTTGCAACGAACTTATTATAATTGCAATGAGGGAGCTGCTACGTTTATTCAATATCCACTATTAATACGAAATAACACTAGATAGTAGTAAATAACGAGCATTTAATTCAGACTTTCGATTACATAAATGTTTTACTATAATAACTCTAGTTAATTGTAAGATTATCAGTATGCTATATAATGCATTATAGTGGTTTCTTTCGCACGCTATACAATCAATGTCCAGATCTTAATGTGAATTTTTCCATCACAATATTCCCTCATTTTTTTCAAGACAGGCCCTCCTCTTTCATTCTAATCGTGATAAAATATGCTAATTTGATTCGTTTAAAAATTTTTTAGGTATAATATGAATTTTCTTATAAAAATTTCTTGCCCAGATGTCGCCAACTCGGTCTCAAGCGTGTGGCTTGAGTTCGATTCAAAAGCAGTCCATCAAACTAAACAAGATTCGTCGTCTTTTGAACAACCATCATCTCATCGATCGGAATTGAGAAGTTTTGAGAATCAAAAACTCCTTTCAAACTCAGAAGATGATTCCAGAATCAACACTCTTTCAGCGAACTCCAAAATAGGTTCGAGCATCCGCGATTTTTTTTCGAATTCGAGAGATGATTCCATAAACCAAAAATTATCTACAAACTCTACGGTTAACTTCAGAAACCTTAACCTCTCAACAAATGCAGATAATACTCAAAAATCTAGAAGTAGGAAAAATGTTCCCTCCCTTCATGACAATTTAATTTTGAACGAGAGTGAGAACGCCAACCGAACATTGATGGTGAGATGGAACGCTCCTGAGACTCCGACGGCTGATGTCCTCTTCTACGAGCTGCGCTTGCGTAATGACGTGAGTTCGCCATGCACTGCGATGGAAATAATTTTTACTTGACTTCTAATGCAAGGCAAATAAAGTAGTGTAATATTAACAATTACCTAATTATATTCCCTATAAAAATATTGATTAGTTTTATAGCAATATTCCGATAATTAATGATATTGCTATTATCGAATTTTATATTACCTTAATGTACTTAAAATGGGTGACACTCGCGATAAAATATGAAGTTTTGTCAAATGCCAAAAATTGTTTGCGTGCTACTAGGAAAGTTTTAGATCATTTATCTCATTATGATATGATTCCAATCTTCCAATATTCATGGGAGTTATCAACGAAAATTTCTTAAATGTCACTTAATATGGTGCATAAAAAGCTAATGCAATTTGCCCGATTGTAAAAAAATTGCTTCTGTCCTTATAATGGAGCGATTTCTGGCAATTAAATAAAAAGTTATATCCTATGAGTGTTGCTTCAATACTTTAACAATTATTGAAGGAAAGGAAACATTGAATTTACATGATAGGTTTCGATGTCTCACAGACAAGGATGACTCCAACCCGACAGAGCGCGCTGGCCCGCGTCGCGGTCTCTCACGCAGAGACGGGCGTGATGCTGGCGTCTCTGTCTCCTGGCAAATACATCATCTCGGTCGGAGCGGTCACGGCCCTCGGGCCTAGCTTACCTAAAAATTATTCTTTCCATCTAAACGTACGTAAACATGTTCAGTTGTTTTCATTTATATTTTAATTAAGAATCATCCTTCGCTCTATTTCTAGGAGACTAATTTATACCGAGATATCTTGCGATCAGCGTAGGGTATTTTAAGAAATTTTATATCAGCTAAACAAAATCATGGGTACCAATAATGGTGACGCACTAACAAGAGGGTGAGCGTATACATCTATTGCACTGTTAAAATTAAATATTCAGTAGGTTTTTTTTATTCAAAAAATCCTTCGATTTGATTCTCATTGTGTAATTTTCATCAACAAGCGGGGTTGCGCTTGGTATTAATGTCACTACAAGTTATAGTTATTCGCTAGTTTTATATTATGATTCAGTATCAGCAAATGGTTGTCACAGAGTTTAATTCTATGGTCATGTGCACAAAAAAGTCGTGAGAATGTTGGTCTATTATGAATTTCATCATTTCATATTTCAAATATGACGTACACACTCAATCGACTGCATGCATTTAATTAATTAATTTAGCACAAACTTTCTCAATAAAAATAAAATTAGCAATAATAAATTACCAATTCATTTTTTACTGTTACTATAACTATCATCTTGAAATTCAGAAAAATTATGGTTATTTAAAACATCCGTTTATTCTACTATCATTGCAGTCAAGTCTATCATCCACAACAAGCGGCTCTGACTGCGTGTTGCACTTGAGCGCTGCGGTGCCTTCAGCAAGAGTGCCGCCCGCGACACGTCTTGGCCCTGGGGTGGCACTCGGTCTGCTCGTCTCTGCGCTCTGCTGCTGTGCACTCATTGTCACTTGGAAGAAGACTAGAGACAATGCAAACATTCGACGGAATCTTGGCTTGCGATTGTCTTTTCCTTACTCCGAAATCAAGGGTGAGAACTTCGAATATTTTGAAATAGAATATAGTTTTATACTATTAGACATGAATATTGCACCATATATAGCCTTTTATGGAGACTGGCATGCGATCACATACTACTGAGTATCTACAATTAGTATCAGCAAATTTCATCAATTTTGCCAAATTTTAGGAACCTTGCCAATTAATAAGCGAATTTTTTTACCATAGATAATAATGCTAATTTTTATGTATGCTCACGATCCGGTTACTACTTACTTGAATTCAGGATGTGGCCGTTTTGCACTTAGATTTTCTATAACCGTGGAATGCACTTGCTAAAAAAGATTGCAATTTTTTTATGATTATGATTCCATATGATATTTGTGCCCAATTATGAGCTAATGACCGTTTTTCATGTTATTTAGAAGCGCGAGCCTTAGCTCGGGAAGTAATGGGTGAGTCCTTCACATTGGACGGGTACACCCTAGAAATTGACTCTGAAAATCAGTCTCTCTCTGAGCTCGGGTCCGGCAGCAGTTGTGTGGTCGTGAAGGGAAGCTTCAGGGATACCAATAAACTCGACCTAAACATGCATCTTGGAGTCGCTCTTAAAATTCCAAGAGCAACGAATTTAACTGACGTGAAAAAACTCATTGAAGAAGCAAAAATGTTGAGGTATGAGCTCATTTGATGACTCATTTCATTCGTGATTTAAATTATCGTCTTTATTATGGATGAAATGTAAATATAATATTGGGTATTGATATCAATCGCGTATGATTTTAAAATAAACAAGTATTCACACCCTCGAATGATAAAAATAATATATATTATATGTACATATATTTTATATATAGCATAATAAACACCATCGAATATACATAAATAATATATATAAACTCATATGTTTCCCGCTTTCAAAATCATCACCTCTACTCACAGGGAAGTTGCTGGTGCACACGTAGTGCCCGTCCTAGGCTTGGTGTTGACGAGGCATCTGGTTGCTCTGGTCATGCCCACGATGAGCTCCGACCTCGAGTTCTTCCTGAGACGCATGAAGAACCCACTACCTGTTCAGGTGAGAACCTACGCATGAAGAACCCACTACCTGTTCAGGTGAGAACCTACGCATGAAGAACCCACTACCTTTTCAGGTGAGAACCTGACCGTTATCTTTGCTTAAAGATCGATTGAGGTGTGACGAGTAAAATATGCGATGAAAAGTTTACGACATCAAATTTATGCATTTTGTGTAGAAGAAGAACAAGTTGTCGTTAATTGTGTGTATACTAATGATTAACATAAAACTAAAAACTTTAATTACTGAGCTGAATTATACAAACGTTTATCTATTTCATCGCTCCTTAACACGAATGTGTTCCGCCGCAGATCATGGAAAGCTTAGCCCATCAGGCGTCCATTGGTTTGCTGAGTCTGGAACAACAAAACATCGTCCACTGTGACGTCTCCAGTCGCAATTGCCTAATAGACCTCCACCTACTAGAACAAGGCCTTATAAATCATTGTCCTCGAGACCCAGGACTTTTAGATTCAAGGATCCACAACTGCAGGTCACATGAGCAACACCTCCACGACCTCAGACTTCATGACCAATATCTCCGAAACAACAGCTTGCAAAGTTCAACTCTTCCAAATAGTAGACTCACAAACTTCAGTTTGCTGCAAAAAATGCACCACGAGAACTCATTTCGAGGCGACTCCAGACTCCAAGACTCTGTGTTACAAGACCCCAGCCTCTTCAGCCACTGTATGCCTCCGTGGCTAAAAATAGCAGACCTCGGCAGCGCTGTCAGACTCGACGGTCGTCAATCCAGAGTTGGTGAGTAATCCATGGCTTTAGGGCCTAGTAGTTGCAAGTGATCATGATTGGGAAACTATAATAACAGAAAGTTCCCCTTTGGTTGTGACGAACGAAAATCCTGCTAACATATTTTATTTGTCTGCGCACGCGGACAATGAATGGGGACACAATTTATAACACGAAACCACCTTCGCTTGAACCGTGCTTTATTTATTCTAGCTGTGAATGCAATGCACCCTTCAAATAATTATTTTGTTTTCTTCAGAGATATCACATTGCAATAAATATAAACTGATAAAGTGATTGAAGAAGTTCAACGCGCATGCGTAGGATTAAACTGTAAAACTGATACAAACTAATTTTTTTAATATGTGCATGGAATTTGACGCTGTCGTATTTCCCACATCTTGATGAAACATCAATTAAACAATAATATTATTCTTCATTTATAGCCCACATTATTTTCAGTTACATAATATTTTAATAACAAAACCCGAATTAAAAATTTAATTCCTATTCAAATGGCAGTTGTGCACAAATTGCGTCCAGTTCGCTGGCTACCTCCTGAAACATTGGCCGGGAACTTGTACAGCTCGCGCTCTGACACCTGGAGTTATGGAGTCCTGGTCTGGGAAATATGCAGTAGGGGAGCCAGACCTTATGAGGTAAGTCGCCAGTGGCCATGCTTGAAAAGTACCTTTACAGTTAATGGTCAGTATATACAGTTAAATACCTATACAGTTAACCACAGTTTATTGTCCGATAAATGTCTGCCTCATTAGCGCCTGGGAAACGCAGGACATACTACTTAGTTAAGCTCATGTTCTGTCTCTACGTAAGACGTCTCTGCAAGTCTCAAATGAGTGGATATTGAACACGAGAGACCCGATTGAGTGCAGTGGGAGCAGCTTGCAGTCAACTAGTCCCATTTTGGCTATGACATGCATGAATTAGGTCGGTATAGTTCAGTGTAGGTAAAATTATTCCCGTTCGGAGCCATGCTTGCATGACTACACACGAAAATTGGGTTTAAATATACAATTTTGCTTCAAACAAAATCACATGCATATTGATTAGTATTCCAAGATCACTTAAATGCATATATTTTTGCATCAAAGTTAAAAGTGTGTAAACATCTCACTTTCATGTAATACTAAAACTAATTAATTAATCAATTAGTTATTGGGTGCAATTGTCACTGTCGGTGCGTACGCACCACAGGCAGCATCTCTCACTCCCTACTAGAGAGATCGCAGTTGTTCACGGACGGCAAATAGTATATACATACATCCCCCGCTTCCGAATCCCATCGTTTCAATGTCACTGACATAAATTCAGATCTTAAATGAGTCTTATATGCATCCAAACATAAAATTGAAAACTGCAAATACTAAATTTTACTTCCTACCATACTTTTCTAATCATTTTTTCTAGCTTATAAAACATTATTATTGAACCGAATGCTACTCAGAACTCTTAGAAACGTGCTCAGAGTCAACACTTCGCCAGGCCACCCTGACAATACATGCGAATTACGTTATTTCCTCCCACATTCATTACCATATGAAACCATCGTCGCCACGCCACAGACTTTTTCAATATTAAATTATGACTCCAGCTGACAGTTTTCCTACTGATTTTTTTTTCAAACAGTCGGAGCCTTTAACGTCCATACAGTTTTGAGTATCGTACAAAATTTAAACCATCATCTACTTAATAACTTCTTGTTTTGTAATTGCAATCAACTGCAAGCCTTTACTCCTGCCTACAGCAGTTATAGCATGCGAAAAAATTACTTGGTATAATCTATAAATTAAATTTATTAGACATTAATTCTTCTGAATGAAATAAACATTTGCATCCATCACGATTAACTGATAATTACTTTCGAATTGTTAATGGGCTATGAATGCCCTAGCAAGGCACAGCCAGTTATGGGCCAAGTCAAAAGCACGTACAATCAAATTTGGGATGATTTTCATTATAATTAATATTCTTCGTTTTAAATGAAAGTTCATCGGAATGAAGTATAGATTGGTCATGGTTAATATATTCCCATTATTTCAGGAATATTGTCCTGCGAAGCTCGTTACTAGTTATCGTACTTTAATATTTTAAAAAATCTTTGAACAAACTTCGTTGAATTAAGAACGGCCGTACTTGATCCATTCTCCTTCATTCCGTTCAGGCGTTTCAGGCATCAGCCGAGAAGTGCGTGCCACAGACCGTGATTACGTCGTTAATCCGTATAGTTTGTTCCGATTCAAGAAGACAGCCTGCCAATTAAGACTATAAAAACTTTCAAGAAATCATGAAAATGTAAACTTTGCTGGTTGGACATTTCGTTGCAGTAAGAGTAAATATATTGATGCGTAAGACGGGGAAGAAGAAATTAAATTAGAGTGAGTAGATCGTTTCTGATCCCCAAAATCTACATTAAAAAGTAAAATTTAATTAGTCAATGATATGTCAAATAGCGACGCACCATCAACGTACAGCCTAATTACCAATAAAATGATCAGTAATCGTTCATTTATGCGATAGACGCCAGAGACGTCATCTTTAACCTGAGAAACAAATCGACCATCCACGTATATATATATATATATATATCATCCTTGTGCGGTGCGCGAGTCACTGATAAATTTTGAGAGTCATTTGATTGACGTTTCCAACCCGAATCTGTGTTACGAAGATAAAAATGGGCATTTGGATTTTGACCTGATCCGAATGGACACGTCGTAATTTTACTATGATTCACTTTCACTGGGTTCTTGCGTCCAACGCTCATTTCCCTCAAATCAAATCCTAGACTTTGATTGGGTAAATAAGAGAAATGCCCGATAAACATTGTACAAAGAATCATTACAATCAGCGATTGAGAAATGTGGAATAATGAGTGAGATATTAATGACATTTAATTTAAGTTACGTTGTTTGACATTTAATTTAAGGCAAAAAAATGAGAAAGCACTTAGCGAATTTCCCTGCAAACGTTCCTGCTTCAAACACAACGCTGAAGCTTTTTAGCGCATTTTCTCATTTATGGAAAAAATGCACTATTGTACTCGCCATGTCCGTCTGTCTGTCTGTCCGTCCGTCCGTGACCTCAAGTTATCGTCGTCGAGAAAATGCGCTCTTTGTCACTCACTGCAGTGAGTACTGAGTTATATTTTTTTTACATATAGACACTACGATAGAAAATCCTGTGCGTCCCAACAGCAAATGTTATTCTTTTTAATAGCGTTTTTTTCAAAACTATAGCTTGAAACATTTATCATGCAAACTGACAGAGAAAACGAAATTAATTCAGTTTGTTAAACTTCCCATTCGTAGAAGACTAGACATATGCAAAGTTTCAGCCATAATATCGTTCCCATTTATCAAAAAATTCATACTCAGGATCTTGAGGACAGCGAAGTTTCATCAAAAAAAATAATGAAGAAGTGAGAATAAACTAAGGAAGGTTCTCTAAGTGTCTTTTGATAATCATTAAATTCGAAAATATACTCTGAAGCTTCATCAAGTTGACCAGAGCCAACTAAGCTCAAATAATTAATTATCAGTCATACGGACTCAATGATGAAATTGTCTTTATTAAATCAAGACTTTCAACCGATCTAAAACTAATCTGAACTCGAAAGATTTCTCTTATTGTATGACGATGACAATTTTACGGCTAAAAATTTCATGAAAATGAATGAATCGGGCATAATTCTGAGATAATGCAATAGCGACTTGTTAAAGTAAACTACTAGAGCAGCATATTATTGGCAGTTTCCAGCGATAGTTCACAGTGGTCTCTTGTGCTAATAGCTCAGCGACAAAATTGTCGGCGTTTTCAATGCGTCAGTTTTTTTCAATCAAGCTCCATCGAAAATTTCGGTTCTTCTTAGCTTGTCCAAGACCAATTCTTCCACCTATAGAAGTCGAGAATGGATACCTCCTAAATGGAGGATTGTCCTGAAAATGACCATTTTCAACATGCAAGACGCAACTCAACCAAAAACTCATTGTTTAGAAAAAATGTCGAATACTCTGGCCTAACTGCGACTCGTGTACTAGTCGACTACAAATAATATAACTATTTTCAACTACGATCAGAAATTTTGTGGTCAGAATACAAAAAGTAATAGAATTTGCGGATGTTAAATTATATAAAAGCGAGTCATTCAAGCTAAACTCATTCCGTGCATGTAAAAAATTCCTTAAGGGGGAGGTATACCCTCCAGAAAAACTTTTTTGTTTATGAACGGATCACTCTGAAACTTGTTACACTTATGTAAAACAGAATTCTAAGACATTTTTGTTCGTGTGATTTTTTCGAAAAATTGACAGAAAACGTGAAATTCATAGAAAACGGACAAAAAAGGGGGTACTGTAGAAATCTATCTCCTCCTAGGGTTTTGAAGCTACAGCGATGAGACATATACCATTCTATTCGTAAAGACCATACCAATGCAGTTACACGGCCCGATTTTTTATTTTTGCTTTAGTTTTTTTTTACAAGCATTTTTCTATTTTTTCTCATTTTTTCTCATTTTCCCCCCCTTCCTCCCCATTTTGAATCCAAACTATGCACAAATCTATAAAAGGGCCGTGTTACTGCATAGGTATGGTCTTTACGAATAGAATGCTATATGTCTCATCGCTGTAGCTCCAAAACTCTAGGAGGAGATAGGTTTTCCGTGACAAAAAGTTGAACTTTTCAGGACGGCGCGACAAATTTCCGCGCGCCTGGAAATAGTCACTAAATGTAGCATAGCTACCAAAATATAGGCTTCTGTAGCCTAAAACACTATTTTGTAAGAAGTGTCAAAATGGGCCCATTGCCCCACCCCTGGGGCAATGGGCCCATGGGCCTAATTCCTCTCAAGGATGCTAGGAGCGACTAGCAGAACACCACTCCGCACAAAGCGAAGAGGGTGACTGCAGCTTGATGCCAGATACACCAATATTTTTAGTCTTAGCGAGTGAATTAAGTCCTATCTATTTTCTGAAGGAAATCCCCCCCGCCCCCATTTAGAGCCCAGCTGTGTGCGTTAAAACTCACTCACAGCTATCGCACTAGTATCGTTGAAAAGCTCAGAATGTCAGCTTTAAGATGAGACTAAGCATGTAACTGCAGCACAACTCAAGTAGAAACTATATTCAAAGATTTCAGCAGCTAATTACTTTATATCTAATTAGTTAAAAAACTCGCCCACCCGCTTCCCTTTAAAGAGACGTCATGAACGCAAATATTTACATACAGACATGGCAGTGGTACCATTGGAAAGAGCAGAATTTCAGCTTTAAGATGAGATTAAAACCCAAAAATGCCAAATCTGAAAATTTTAGGGTATACAAAATTGAGCAAAATGGTTGTAGCAGAAAAAATACGATCACAATGGATGACTTCATACACCTGGATTAAAAAAAAAGAATAAAATGAATAAAAAGAACATAGTAAAATAATGAAGAAGTGAGAATAAACTAAGGAAGGTTCTCTAATTGTCTTTTGTTAGCCAACTGAGCTCAAAAAATTAATTATCAATCACACGGACTGAATGAAGAAATTAATTGTCTTTATTAAAACAAGATTTTTCAATCGATCTAAAACTAATATGAACTCGAAAGTTTCCTCTAATTGTANCACCGACATGTGGAACAGCCTCCCTGAAGATATTGTTGACGCTCCGAGTATGAACGCGTTCAAGAACAGACTAGACAAGGCCATGCTGGAGTATATGTTTAGTCTTGAAATGTCTCGTATCCTACGGAACAACTGAAATCTAGAAGCGATTTTAAATCTGCCGTCCGTTGGAAAGATGTGATCAAAAGGCCAGTCTAGTCAAGAAAAGTACAAGAATCGGCGACAGGCCTATATCCAAGCCTATTCTTCAATGCCGAAGATACTATACTATACTAATTGCACTCAAAAATAAAATATCGGAATTCAGCATTGCAGACGTCTGAATTTTAGTTGAAACTACAATTCCCTGGTAGGCCCAGTTCTCATATGTTAAAATAGTTGCTCTCGAGCTGTGAGGTGAGTCACCGCAATACCTACTGTTCATTCTAAAGCCTAATAAAGTAGTGGTTGGGAAATTAACTACCATCTGACCAAGCTCAAGTCAAATATCCCACTAATTGTTCTGACTTTTGAAGGCCCACCTACCAAAATAACAGATAGGGTACTGATATATCAGCGGTACCATGTGCTACCCCAATCCATTAAGATGGGGGCTCTGTTGGAGATTTGGGCACTCAAACAAACTACCTACATGCAGCCACTGTGAGTGTGGAGCACACAAGTGAAAGCTGCTCCGAGTCTTCCCTGCCACCCAAATTCTTAAACTGCAAAGGCCCACTCGATGCTAGTCATGCTACATCGAGTGCCCGAAGTAGTTGACTGAAATCCAAGCATGCCACCTCATGGTATACTATAGACGAAGAGCTCAGCTTCACAGTTGCTAGAGATCAGGCTGAGGAGGCAAGCCCGTCGCCTCCCATCGCCATGCGGCAGAACCGATGCAACTAATCAGGGACAGTTTCTCGCTGTGACTAACAATCTTCAAACAATCAACTACCAAAAGCCACCAACCACTTAAACCTCAACTCAATGAGGGTTTTCCCCACACTCACGCAGCCCATGGCCCAGGATGCAACGAGGAGCATACCAGAAACCAGCTTTGCCCAACTTCACACAAAGTTAATATTTTTTCCGTAGGTAAGCACGCTGGAGAGCATAGCAGCTCATGTAGGTGGTCTATTGCTCACAACCATAGCGCCAAAGTTAAGCGAACTAACCACTCCTGGCCTAACCTACACACGTTGCAACATCCTGGCTGCATGATGTTATAGAGAGGAGAGTCGAGTGAGCAGGTTGAGCCAGTCATTGCCTGCAAGAAAGTTGTGAGTCGAGGCAGTGTGAAAAGGTTTGGCCAGAATTATGCTGAAGCCCGGAGAAGGTGAGGCCGAATGCAGAAGCCCGGAGAGGGCGAGGCCGAATGCTGAAGTGCCAGCTTAAATCGAGAATGCCAATTACATCTAGGCAGTGTGTCACTGATCCACCTTATAATGTACCAGCGTAGTCTGCGGTTTTTAGTCCTGCGTCTGCGTAAAGTTATTGCACACTGAGGCTAGGCGTTGGCTCCAGGGCTTATTTAAGTAAATTTGTGGCCCACGGCTGCGTTCCCGACGCACCAACCCAGAATGGACACGTCGTAATTTTACTATGATTCACTTTCACTGGGTTCTTGCGTCCAACGCTCATTTCCCTCAAATCAAATCCTAGACTTTGATTGGGTAAATAAGAGAAATGCCCGATAAACATTGTACAAAGAATCATTACAATCAGCGATTGAGAAATGTGGAATAATGAGTGAGATATTAATGACATTTAATTTAAGTTACGTTGTTTGACATTTAATTTAAGGCAAAAAAATGAGAAAGCACTTAGCGAATTTCCCTGCAAACGTTCCTGCTTCAAACACAACGCTGAAGCTTTTTAGCGCATTTTCTCATTTATGGAAAAAATGCACTATTGTACTCGCCATGTCCGTCTGTCTGTCTGTCCGTCCGTCCGTGACCTCAAGTTATCGTCGTCGAGAAAATGCGCTCTTTGTCACTCACTGCAGTGAGTACTGAGTTATATTTTTTTTACATATAGACACTACGATAGAAAATCCTGTGCGTCCCAACAGCAAATGTTATTCTTTTTAATAGCGTTTTTTTCAAAACTATAGCTTGAAACATTTATCATGCAAACTGACAGAGAAAACGAAATTAATTCAGTTTGTTAAACTTCCCATTCGTAGAAGACTAGACATATGCAAAGTTTCAGCCATAATATCGTTCCCATTTATCAAAAAATTCATACTCAGGATCTTGAGGACAGCGAAGTTTCATCAAAAATCATATCGGGTGAAGCATCACTTCCCGAGAGCTCGATCTCCTCTCCGCTGCTGAGACACCTACACAGGAAGTGTCTCGAGCGCCGGCCGGAGGACCGTCCTTCGTTCAGTAACATCGTCGATTTTTTTAGGGTGTGTTAGTATTGTCCATTTGTAATTTTTGAATATTATAAGTTTGTTTTAATTTGCGTTTTTAAGAGCGAGTTGGTTTTTATCGGTGTGATTAATTTGGTTTTAAAACCAGACTTCGTAAATCATTCCTAGTTTACGACTGGAAGTCATTAATATCAAATTTCGAGAAGCTCAATTATTGAATTGAACATCATTTGTTAGTGAAGAGACATGCTAATTTCTTTTACTAATGTTATCGTGGTATCCAAATGAAAACCATGTGATATATGATGGTAGGCTTCCCAAATGATGCAAAATATCAATTTACGTTAATCCCATACATTCTTAAATGCTTTTATGACCGACTTAAAACTTTTTCGCGGGATTTTTCAGGTTGTCAGATGTCAAGTCTTGGCAATAAATCCACCTGCCCTCCCGAGACAGATTCCGGACAGTTGCTCTAACATCACTGAAGCAAGTAACTACAACCACCCATGAAGGTTTGATGCTTAAGAGAACTCGTAACACATTTAATTAACATGAAATTTTACTTATCTCGTCCAATTACTTCTTTCTCTTACTTTCACCCAGATCCACCAAAGTAAAAATGGAACAACTACCGGAAAAAATTATTTTGGCTGAGTCTAGGTGAATGTTCACTAATTCCTGTTTTAATCAGAACACTTTTGCGCAGATGATGGAACGTAAAAACTGAAGGTAGTGTGGAATGGTCAACACTGAACTACGATTTTTAATTGGAATTTAGCTCTTGAGCGCGCAATGTGGGGTTACAACACCCGAACGATCAACTTTGGGTACAATGAGTTGCCCAGCCAGTGATTCCCTTATTATAATAACCGATATTATGAAAATGAAAATAACGTTATATTAATAGAGGAAGATTATTTAAGCTCACAAAATTCACTTTTCAATGAATTTTTAAAAAAAAGAATTTTTTTTTCTCTTTAAAAAGAGAAAACTGATGTGTTATTAGGCCATGTTTTTAAAGAGGCTCTTTATTAATGATTTGCTATTTTTTAACCTACTCGCTACGTTTATTCAATCTATAAAAAGCTTGGCTTCATTGACAAAATTCATTCCTCCTTGTTTAAAAAAACCTCAATGGTTTTCTACAGACATGAACAACGGTATTGCTGCCCCTCATCTAACCCAAAAAGAACACTGACACCCTCGAGCCACTGAACGCCTCAGCCACGGTGCGTAGCAGAGAAACATATCGAAGTTCATAAAAGAACAAGGGACGATCGCAGCTCACGGCTAAATGACCAAAGCGTTCCTGCACGATGTGTGCGTAGGTCTTTGTGTTTTAGCAGATTATAGCCAGCGCACTTCACTCAACTTCGCTCATAATTAATCAAATTCTGGTTCAACTAACTTGATTGAAATTTGTCACCACTGGCTGTATCCCTTCCCAAAATTATTTTATTCGGCAGTCGCCCGAATAATCGGCTGGAAAGCCATGTTCGATGTTTCTGGTTGTGGCTGCAGCAACCTTAATTTTGAACCGCCCTGTTGTGGTCTTAAGAACCCCTGTCGTATTGAAAAAAACGTGTCGTCGCAAATAATTGTGAACATTTTACTTCAAGTTATATCCTTCAGCAACCTGATATTGTGGCTTCCAGTGGTGTGTCGTAGAATAAATATTTTCTGACCAATATATGTCAGCAAACGTCTGAGTACCTAATACGAGTCAGATTTTGTGTCCTCGCAACTCGATTTGTGCAACTCGATTTGTGTCCTCGTACTTCGTCTTTTGAAAAATGAAATCGCCTCATGTTTCAATGCTAATACCAAGCAGTTACTATAGTGTCTGGATGCATGTTAATAAGGAATAAACAGCGGTACAGTCGTTTGATGAATTTGATCCAAGAAACTGAATGCTATTTCAGGGCAAGACAGTTGCGGAAGCACAAGGCCACCGTCTTGCGTTAGTTCATGTGAAATTCCGACTGGGAATTTGCTCGTGTTGGTGGTCAGGAAGCATTGAGTTAGATGTTAATAAAATGCAATATATTGCGCAGGAATATTCAGTGGCACACGAGGAAGAGAAACTGCGGTCTCAACCAGAATATAATGAATGCCATGAATATCAGATAAGCTATCAAATGCAGAGGCATCGCATTTACTAGGAAATGGTTTGCGAGTGTTTCTCATTACCTTAGCGTAATTTCTGTGGGAAGCACAAGTTAAAGAAGAGAACAGAAAGCTCCACTTTACGAATATGTGCGTGTTTTGCAGTGTTTTCTCTAATAGGTCTTCGTGAGGGGTAACTTATGAACTTCGTTACGCCGAGGAATGGAGCTCCTAAATGATGGCGGGTTATCTTAAGAGAGCAGTTGTGGGCCTGAGCTTTGTAGCTCAGCTCGGTGAGGTGGTCAAGGCTAATTGTGATTGAACGAAGTTCTTGCATGTCAAATTTTTAGACAAGATCATTCCTGAAAATGCTAACTCTTGTTTAGCTCATCTTGAGCACATAATAATGTACACGAGTAATTTTTCCTTCGAAAAGAAGCGAGGTTGCTAACTCAATTCCACTAATTTTTTGCTTGGAGAAAAGAACCCAACACAATTATTCCACACGTTGCGTAAATCCAATAAGTGATGTTAAAAAAATTAGTAGGTTGCTATAAATTTTTTAAGTCGTTCGTGTGGTGATTGAGGGAATGCTTAAGCTAAAATATTGTTACCTTTTGATGTTGTCTTACGAGTGTTCAGTCATAAACTCACTGTCGGTTAATTTCTATGCTCAAAAGTTGAATGTCGAATTATTTCTCAGAATTATTCAGTCTGTATAGTGGATTGCAAATAGATGGCAAACGTTCTAGATTTTACATTCAACAGTTCACTAATAAGTATAGGTCTCAGAGTATCCGTTATAATGGCTCTCACCTGATACGGTATTGCTCAAAGTTAATTATGTATTTTTGCCGTTCAATTGCAAGTCAGGATCAGTGCCATCTCGCTTGTTTATTTTTACCATTTGATGCGTGGGTGCGACTCCCAGCAGAATTAATTCCATCATTTATCATTCGAAACACATTTTTCCTTCATATTGTTGACATGCATTTGACGGTAACATCCTGTTCTTCAATTGTGCTTAAGCGACATGACTTAGACATCATAATCTTCATTGCTTATTATGATTTGGGAGATAACAAAACATTCATTCATCCGATACTCAAGTGAGAATACATTTTTTTTTTCTAAATATATGAGTTTGCTAAATTATTATTACTGTATAGATCGCGCTTGTTCGAGTTTGTCACCATCGTTCATAGATGTACAGCCAACGCCGCTCCAGGTGTCATGTTTTTATACCATTAACGTCTAATTGTTAAGTCGTTCATTACTGGTTGCCATTTTGCATCGGTTGTCTCAACTCAACCAATTACCAAAGTGGAAGCGCACGCTACATATTACCTGTGACTTTACAAGTGCTTATTACGTGTACGTGTTTTGGTGCGAGTGCATTTTTTATGTTGTGGCTTAATGTATTCCCAGTTTTTCGTATGGGAAATATAAATCTGTATATATAAACTACTTTTTGTACTACTTGTCAATGTTCAAGGATTTGAAGCAATTTGAATCAGCAATATTATTATGAAATAATCTTGAACTTCTTTCAATTAATCAAGAATCTAAAATTCAAAAGATTCACTCCCTTTTCAATTAACATAAGATTTTTAAATGAATTAATGTATTTGTCTGCATCATTGATAATTGATATTGTGTTAGCGGAACATTCAAAAAGTATTCATTATAAAGCAAGTCATTTATCATCAGAAAGTCAGATACATTTTAAATCCCAAGAATATAATTAAGTGATGCCAACGGTATATATAATATAATCGGTATGAAAGATGCCCATAACCCTGATTGGTTATATCTTTTCGTATAGTATCAAGCAACCTGACCAAAAAAAGGTTAATATTATTCAAAATTTTCAGATTACTTGAAATCATTGCCTTTCATCATCACAAAGTTGTTGAATGTTGAAAGAAGTGCATTTCAATGACCGTTTATCGACTAAGGTTTGTGAGGCTGTGCGCTAATTTTGCACTTAATAGTATTAAGAATTTTTAGTTTAAAAATTTTTCGAATAAGATAATTGAGCTCCATTACTCAAAATCTTGATAAAGGTAAGACTAAGTGTGTAATTAAGAGAGTTTGCCATTCCTTTAAAAATAAGCACGCGATTAAGACGATATATATTGAACCACTAGAGCCTAATAAGTGTGTAACATTATTCGTCTCCGCCTGATGGTCACGAGTTATTTTTCTAAATCATAGACTAAGAATTAAAATTATGTTATAAATAAGGATACTAAATCTTTTCAAAGCATCCCGAATGCGACTGTGATTTCCTAAAACCTTACACAACGGATTCATCAAATCTGTCAATGGCTGTTGTAAGTAGCGCGTATAGGAAGCATGACCTACAAATTTAAATTTATGTTGAATGTGATATTTCCACTAGACACTTATTTTCCCAGCATTCATGATTCAAACAGAATATCGACTGAAATTTTTTTAATATAACGATATTCCTTTCTTATCCATCCTGACTGCCGTGAAATAAGATATTACTATTTAACTTTTATTTTTTACTACCCCGGACCACTTGAACGTTTGACTAGCACACATCACTTGAACGTCTGACTAGCACACATCACTTGAACGGCTGACTAGCACACATCACTTGAACGTCTAACTAGCATAGACTACTCGAACGCTTGACTAGCGTACACCATTTACCTGAACGCTTGACTAGCGTACACCACTTGATCGTTTGACTAGCGTACACCACCTGAACGTTTGACTAGCGCACTTCAGTCGAACGTTTGACTAGCGTACGCTACTCTAACGTGTGACTTTAAGTTTGACATGCGGAAAATATCATTTGATTTTTTGACTATTCATGTCAGAATTTTGAAATTGACCGGGCAGTTTGATGCAAAACTTTGATCCCGAGCTGTTGTACTTTATTAACACAATTGAGAAGCATTTCACAATGTAACACTGAGTCTATAAGTCAAATGAACATCATGAGACGAAAAATTTGAGTGCAATATCTGTTAGCACTAAATAATCAAGCAGTGATATCCTGCCTCCCTTATTTTCAATAATTATGGGCCTTCAAGTTAAACATAGGCCTTAAAGCTCACCATATAAACCTCATAAACCTCAAATTGATCCCGCACGAAATGAAACTACTTATACCAATACTCATTTGCTGAAGTGAATTTTTGAAACAAACTTTATGCCCATGAATTCGAAATAATAAATTGGATTCAATAAATTGCTGAATTTATGTGCTTTTGATGTTTGTGAATCTCGAGAGCGCAATCAAAGGTTTGTAAATTCATTATGAATAATAAAAATGTTTGCGTAACAAGTTCTGAGTTCAATCTACCTTTCAATGGGCAAGGCATCATACCTAGGACTTCTGCATCTTGAAAGAATTACTGACCTAAGAATAGCAGAAGGAAGTGAATTAGGAAAAAATCCTGCAATTCTCTCCACGAGATCGCATTATAGTATTTGGCTGTGTGTTCCGTGCGTGACACACAGGCCCCTTCTATCTTTTTTTCCTAGATTTGTAGGAGCAGTGGAAGCGAATCCATGTAGCCCCTCGCCAGAACATGCTTTACGTGTGCAACGCAAAAAGTTTACTGAAGATAGAATGTAACAGGAAAGTTAAAATAGGTGGGAACTGACTGCGTTGTTTGCTGTTGTGCAACTTAATTGAGGGACGTTATTTAAGTGACTTTGAGTTAATCTTACGGACGGGTGCTTAACACACCATGGTGGATACCACGCCAGTAAGAAGGCGCCCCAGAGGGAAGGCCACTACAGGTTTTAGATTACTAGCCAGCAAGGAGACCACGCCAGGAGGAAGTCTGTAGACCACACCAGGGAGAAGGCCACAACATTGGAATAATGGGGATCAGCTCCACTTGAGGGCACCAACTATAGTAATTTAAACCATGCCCGAGGGACACCTAACATAGATGGGGACGCTAACCACACCTGCATGGTGAGGCTACTCACGCCAGTGAGTTACCACAGAACTTTAATCAGCCCGCAGCACAAAACATCGAGCGTAAAATTATTTATTCTGCAATAGTTATAAGAATTTGCATGATAGAAATTTTAAAGGCAATCAAATGAGTTTCACGTTTGGGTGGTATTACCCTGTGGTGATTGACTAGCAACCAAATTTAGCCCAATTTACTCCACTTTTCACGAATGCATTAAAATACGACGCCACTGCTGTAAAACGCAACATAAATAAATACTTTAGAGCTTCTGCATCTGAAAGAAGCAATGAATCGAGACTCAACAGAATTCCAATTGTTATCTTGGACCGCAAAAAAAACTCTAATAAAGTTCAAACTAGGAAAGCAGTGGAGATAATACTAAGCTGGAAGGCACATGCGCCTCTTCAATAACTTGTGGCAACTCACTATCGTTTATCATGACTAATTGAAATACATCAAAACGCTTATAATTCTTTGAATATTCTGAATAGAAAATACAATCATTAACAATTTACAAAACAGTCAAGTTACTCTTCTCAACCCCAAGATGCGTCAAAATTGAACACGCGAGGACATGCGTCCGGTGAGATAACATCGTAGTATCAACAGCTAGGAGACACACGTGGTTTTGGTGTAGAATAAATGGATCGTTCGCATATTTGTGGAGCAGGGTTACCAATATCATCAACAAGAATATAATAAAATTTTTTCAACCAAACTTTTCTCATGAATACATGTGAGCACATAAGGCTACGATTCGAAACAGTATTTATCATTTGAGACCAAATTTCTACCGACAAGAAGCTCTGTACTTCGTAAGGATAAAAAAATGCACATCCATCGAAATTAGCTCATAAATTAAAATAAACTTGCTGAACTAACTAAACTAATAATATTTAACCTAAGAAGACAAAATGTCGAATACTCTGGCCTAACTGCGACTCGTGTACTAGTCGACTACAAATAATATAACTATTTTCAACTACGATCAGAAATTTTGTGGTCAGAATACAAAAAGTAATAGAATTTGCGGATGTTAAATTATATAAAAGCGAGTCATTCAAGCTAAACTCATTCCGTGCATGTAAAAAATTCCTTAAGGGGGAGGTATACCCTCCAGAAAAACTTTTTTGTTTATGAACGGATCACTCTGAAACTTGTTACACTTATGTAAAACAGAATTCTAAGACATTTTTGTTCGTGTGATTTTTTCGAAAAATTGACAGAAAACGTGAAATTCATAGAAAACGGACAAAAAAGGGGGTACTGTAGAAATCTATCTCCTCCTAGGGTTTTGAAGCTACAGCGATGAGACATATACCATTCTCTTATACACATCTAGATGTGTATAAGAGACAGNTCGGTTCTTCTTAGCTTGTCCAAGACCAATTCTTCCACCTATAGAAGTCGAGAATGGATACCTCCTAAATGGAGGATTGTCCTGAAAATGACCATTTTCAACATGCAAGACGCAACTCAACCAAAAACTCATTGTTTAGACTTTAGAGCTGCTTCTCCTAACAAAAAAAGCGCTTCAGCAGGCCCAGTGCCAACCACAGCTCCAAGGAGACACAACCAAGATAAAAATACCTGTTGTGGCGGTACAAAACCCGCGTTTATTCCAAACAATAAAAGAATAGAATACAGACTCAATACTAAGCATATAGTTCGGTCGGACAGTAAAGGAAAATCAATGAACACCAAGAAGAACAAGTTCCAGCACCAAACCGAAACAACAACCAGCACCAATTAACAGTATCGGTTCCTCGCAAATCATTATTATAACTTTGGAACAATTCAAATGTCAAATAAAATGCAACTGCAAAATGATATTGATAGTTTAGTTGACTGGGCTGATGCATTGCAGCTGCGTTTCAATGCAGGCAAGTGTAAAGTACTTCACCTCGGCATGAACAATGAACAGCAAGCTTGCAGCATGAGAAAACACGGTTGCAACGAGAGGGTTATGATTGAGAAGTCTTGCGTGGAAAAAGATCTTGGAGTTTGAAGCCAGTCATTGCTTGCAAGAAAGTTGTGAGACGGGCAGTGTGAAGAGCTGAAGCCCGAAGAAGGTGAGGCTAAATGCAGAATCCCGGAGAGGGTGAGGCCAAATGCTGAAGCCCACAGAGGGTGAGGCCAAATGCTGAAGCCCGCAGAGGGTGAGGCCGAATGCTGAAGTGTCGGCTTAAATCGAGAATGCCAATAACCTCTGCCTATTACCTCTAGGCAGTGTGTCACTAAGCTACCTTACAATGTTCCAGCGTAGTCTGCGGTTTCTAGTCCTGTCTCTGCGTAAAGTTATTGCACACTGAGGCTAGGCGTTGGCTCCAGGGCTTATTTAAGTACATTTGTGGCCCACGGCTGCGTCCCCGACGCACCAACCCCTATTCTATCACACCAGGCACCACCTGCCTAGTACAGCTGAAATAAGGCCCTCACAGTAACTACAGAGTATATAGCGGATCGGTTGGTTCGAAACCGCTACAATTGAAGAACTTAGAACGGGGATTATGACACGAATTTACCGAGGACAATGTTCAAAGTGCATTTGTAACGTATGGAGATTGCAACCCAAACGTTGGCGGACCAGGCTGTTATGATACTACGGATAA